TTTTCTGGGCAACCACAGGCCCAAAAGTTATTTTAAGAGGGAAGAGGCCCATGCCAATTATGAGGGCCGCCCATCCCCCCAATTCTTCCACCTTTGAATCATAGTCAGGGAGCCATGTAATTTTTTCAGTGTGACGAGCGTCGTCAGCAGGGAGCGTTTATCGCTCATTTGCTGTGCGTCAGGCACTCTTCTGGGCACTTCATAGCTCAGGATCTTCAAAGGCTCACAGCAGACCTATGAAAGGAGTCACTATCGTTACCCCTGTTTTACAGATGGGAAAACTGAGGAACACAGAGGATAAACAACTCACTGGAAGATATGCGTCCGGCAAGTGGTGAGCGTGTATACATAAGACTGCCCGTGGGTGCAAATAACCCACTTTGGGGCTGACTGTGAGCATCCTTGTCCTCGTTTTAGTCTACAGGAAGTGTCCACTAGGGCGTGGACCCACCAGGCCTCCATCGAGAGAGAAAGAGAGAGAGAGAGAGAGAGAGAGAGAGAGAGGAAGCAAGGCCAGGTCCAGGACTTCCACCTCTGCAGGCCTGAGTCTGAGGCGCTGGTGGTCACACATAACCCAGCCGCAGGGAGGCTTCCCCCTGCAGCGGCCAGTCCCTGCTGCAGGGCCCCACTCACTGGAGCTGGTGACTTGCTCCCCTCAGCTCTGTGTGCTGTGGGGCCTTGGGGCCGGGGCATCACACTTGAGGATGTCCCCGCAGGCAGGTAAGGGGCCTTTGGTGAGCCTCAGTGGCCAGGGATGAGAGTACAGAGGTCAGAGGTCTGGAATCCCTGGTGCCCCCTCCCTGTGCAGGCCTCTGTGGCTTCCTCTGGCTACTCCTCAGGAGACAGGCTGAGGCCCCAGACTCTGAATGGAGAACTCTCAGGCAACAGAGGGGCAGAGAGAGATGCTCCTAAAGACCCCACCCTGATAAAGAGCCAAAGATGGGTCACTCAGGAGTGGCCTCCTCCAGGAAGCCTTCACTGACTGTCCACTCCCTGGAATGCACCTGTTGCTTCCTCGAAGCTCCTGCAGGTGGTGTGCTCCCTTCATCCTCGTGGGTTCCTCTGCCAGCAGGGAGTTCTGCAGCAGTGGCCCTCCCCCGCCCACTGTGAGATGCCCAGGGCCAGCACGGGGCAGGGTGTAGGAAGCACACATGGAGAGTGAAGGAAATGCACATGTGAGCCCTGGGCCATGGACTGGCCTCCATCCTCCTCCGGGCTGCAGATGTGCCCAGTCTGTGGAACAGTCCCATGGCCCTCGGGGACAGAGCCCAGGTGCAGCAGGGAAGACAGATGACTGTCCGAGGAGGGCAGTGGAGCAGGGAGAGCTAGGGCCATAGGAGCTCTTGCAGCCCCAGCCACTTTTGTTAGCCTCCTGTGGCCACTCCCTGGGCAGAGACCATGCAGGCCCCAGCAGATCCACCAAGATGGTGATACAAAGGAGGCAGTGTTCCCCTGCGCCCAGCATAGAGTGACCACTACATCTAGAAAGCCCTGTTTGTGAGGTACTGGGGTAGGGTAGGGCAGTGGTTAGCATACATTGACAGATTTTCTTTGGTCTTTGGATATTGGCTTTGAATCAGCCACCAGGATGCTGCATGTGTGTGTGTGTGTGTGTGTGTGTGTGTGTGTGTGTGTGTACTGAGTTATGGGACCCTCATATATGGCTGGTGGGGATGCAAAGATGGTATACTTGCTTTGGAAGATGATTTGTTATTTTCTTTGAAAATTAAACACATATTGGGGGCTAGCAGTTGGTGTAGTAGTTAAGGTGCTGGATGCCCACATGGCCGACTGTGGTTCAAGTCCTGGACCCAGCAGCTTGAAACTCAAACCAGGTGCGTGTGTGTACGTATGCCCATGATCTCAGGAGAATGGCGAAGGGATTGTAGTGTGGCCATTCCCTCGGGAAGTGATTTCTCACTTTCTGTTTCTCTGGCAAGCACATGCGCCCTATAGCAAAAATCTCTCAAAAAAAAAAAAAATTAAAGACACGTTCACCATTTGACTTAGCAATTCCACTCTTACATACCTACCCAAAATAAACAGAAGCATGCACAGAGACTTATCTGAACAGGATCACAGCAGCTTTATTAAGAACAGCAAAGGGCCAGCCAGTGGTGGATAAGACAGATGGATCCCACATGGCAGACTGCATGGTTCAAGTCCCGCATCCAGTAGCTTCAAAATCACCCAGGGCACATGTGTATGCATGCCCCAAATCCCGAAAGTAGAATGGAGGAAAAGGGATTGGGACATGGCTATCCCCCATGGGGAGTGATTTCTCATTTTCCCCATCTCCCTCTCTCTGTTTCTCTCTGGACAGTGCACATGCCCTAAGACAAAACTAAAAAAAGAAAGAAAAAAGAAAAGAAAACAATTTAGATGTGCATCAGCAGGTGAGTGGATAAACCGTCGTATATCCCTATATAAATGCTACTCAGCAGAAGGAAAGAAAGACTGATTGAATTTTTTTTTTTTTTTTGGAGAGGTTTTGGCTATAGGGAGCGTGCGCTCGCCAGAAAGCAGAGAGAGAGAGAGACAGAAAGCGAGAAATCACCCCCCCAGGGGAGATGGCCACACTGCAATCCCTTCTCCATTCTCCTCTCGGGATCTTGGGCACGCATGCACATGTGCCTGGAGGGAGTTTAAGCCACTGGGTCTAGGACTCGAACTACGGTCGACTGCATGGGAGTCCAGCGACATAGCCATTACGCTAACTGCTGGTCCTAAGACTGGTTGAACCTTGACACCATTATGTTCGATGCAGAAGGCTGTCACAAAGTATTCCATTCAGACGCCATTCTAGAAAGCAATGTGGGGGCTGCCTGGGCTGGGAGCGGGGCAATGATTGACGGCAAATGGACGCGAAGGAACTTTTTGGAAGTGATAGAAGCATTCTAAAGCTCGACGTGGTGGTAACATTTACTCAAAGTTAACAAACTGTACAATAATGATGAATTTAATTGTACGTTATTCCACAATCAAGCTACTTAAAAATACCTATCGAAATGCTAGCGTGCAGCCCTGAGTACTCACTCTGGTGAAGTATATTGTGCATCTGCGGAGCCAAAATGAAATACAGAGGCATACATGCAGTAGGTGCCCAATAAATGCCTTCAGGATGCCCAGGAAGTACCACGCACCAGTCAGTGCTCAGGACTGGGTCTTCCCTCTCCCGGGTTTAAAGTCAGTCCAGGCCTTACTTTATCCTTGTCTGCCCCCTGGTGGCCACAGTGGGCAATGCAGGACTCTTGGTCTCATCCACTCCCATGAGGCCCTGTGGTTGGGTGTGCATGCCACGAGAGGAAAGGACTTTTCCTGGGGAAACTGGTGCCCTGGGAGGGCAAGTTGGTCAGAGATAGTAGCATAGGGGAGTCCCAGGGTCCATAGGACAAGGAATACAGCCTCGTAATAACAGAAAGAAAATGCTCTGGTGGAACGAAGAGACATCTGCAATTTGGCACCTTACATTTTTTTAAAGGAATTATTTATTTTATTTTATTCATTCATTTATTTTAATTTGACCAGAGAGAGACACAGAGAGAGAGAGAGAGAGATAAAGAGAGGGAAAGTGAGATAGCAAGCCACCAGGCCTGGGACTTGAACCGTGGTCATATATGGGAGTATCCAGTGCCTTAAGCACCATGCCACCTGCTGGTCCTCAGCACCTTATATCTTACATATTAATAAAATATAACAGAGGTGTTGTGGTTTGGTTTGGTTTGGCTTGAGGTTTTCTGCAGGAGGACATGGGGGCAGGAAAGCTTAGGGACAATGATGAGGTGGTAGGAAAAGGAATCGTGTGGCTACCCATGGGGCTTGGGAAGTCGGCAGGGGACTTCTCAGAGGCAAAGGACACTCCCTGCAGAGAGGCCTGTAGGGAGCCAGGGCATAGGAATCTCTCCTAGATATGCCGGGACCATCTGACCCCTGAAACCCACCTCCAGGACACATCCCGCAGATACATGTCTCTGTGGCTCGGCTGTGATTGTGGAAGTGTGAGCCCACAGTGTCTGCAGAGCCACTAAGGATTACAAGTTCAGGCGACAGGCTACCAAGGACGTGTTTGGCTCTCCTGGCCACCATCTGCCAGCCTAGGATCCAGGGGCCTCTGGACTAGCCGAGCCCAGTCAAGCTTCTTACAAAAATGGGGCCGGATACAGATACTTTTACAGATGCAGATGGAAGGGGGTATTATTTGCTTTTTTTTTTTTTTTTTTTTTAGTTCTTTGCCATAAGATGTGCTTGCCAGAGAGAGACAGAGACAGAAAGAGGGAAAGTGGGAAATCCTGCTCCCACGGGGGATGACCATGCTGCAATCCCTTATTCTCCATTTTCCTCTCAGGATTTTGGACATGTATACACGTAAGCTCAGTGTGATTTTCTTTTAGAGAGAATTTTGCTATAGGGCACATGTACCCACCAGAGACACAGAGAGAGGCAGAGAGAGAGAAAGTGAGAAACTACCCCCAGGGGGGATGGGCATGCTGCAATCCTCTCTCCTCCATTCTCCTCTTGGGATTTTGGGTATGCACACACATGTTCCAGCATGAGTTCCAAGCTACCAGGTCTGGGACTTGAACCATGGTCAACCAACATTGGTTGGAATCCAGTGCCCCAAACACTATGCCATCTGCTGGCCCCATTGGTATGATTTTCAAACTGCTGGGTCAGGGACCCAAACTGTGGTTGGCCATGTGGAAATATAGCACCTTAACCACCATTGCTACCTGCTGACCCATGGAGAGGGTTGTTTTACGTATCAAGGGTAAGTCTGGCTGCTGTGGAGCAGTAGAAACACAAGTGCTCTGCAAGGCTGTAGCCACACTGCTAATCATGGGTTCAGATCCCCAGAATGGCCAGAAAACACACTGGGTGTGTTCTGGGGTGTCCAGAGTCCTGAGGAGCCAAAGGGTGTGGGAAAGGGGATTGTGGTGTGACATGACCCTGTCAAGGGTGCTCCCTCAGGTACACAAACACTCACACTGTATACAAAGAAAGTCAGTGGTAGATGACGTTTAATCTAGGTGGGCAGGAAATAGGAGCAGGAGAAAGGTTCACATTTTCAGTAGTCGGAAACTTCAGTGGCTGAGATCTCGGAGCTCCAGGTGCTACTGTCTGAATATTTATGTCCCCCCAAATTCCTATGTTGAAAACTAAGCCCCCAGTGTGATGGCATTAAGAGGTAGGGCCTTTGGCAGGGGAACGGATTGGTGCTCTTTGGGGTTTGCTCAAAGGTGGTGGGGAAGGGAGGATGGGCTCCAGGGCTCAGTGAGGTGCTGGGGAATGTGGGCTTTCCTTGGGGTTCGCCCATCTACGAGGGCCAAGGGTGCTCATTTGCACCTTCCCCTGTGTGATGTCACAGTGAGAAGGTGCCACTTGTGAACCAGAGAATGAGCTCTCACCAGGCACCAACTCTGCTGGCCCCTTGACCCTGGACTTCTCAGCCTCCAGAACTGTGAGCGATAAATGTATTTGGTTGATAAAGCACCTGGTTTACAGTATTTCTGGCACTCCGAACAGACTGAGATACCAGGACTTCTTGTTTTCTACTGGCCGCTTACATATATGACAACACATGAAGCTGGCAGAGAAGTGACATGGCTTCTGACACCCAGGGGTAGACATTTCCCAAAACACCTCCCTCTAAGTGGGGAAGACCTGAGGCTCCAAGGAGCAGGAGAGACGGCTGGGAGGAGGTTGCGATGAGGAAGGGAGGTGGGGCTCGGGGCTCAGTGAGGTCTCGGGGAAGGTGGGCTTCCTTTGGGGTTCACCCATCTACAGCTTCATCGGGGGATTTACTGGGTGTGTCCAACAAGAGAGAACCCCTGGAAGCCCTGGCAACTGACCTTCCGCAGTAGGTCCTTCATAGATTTTTACTGAACGGACAGATGGAGGCATGAATGACTGGCTATGTGGACGAGGGCAGCAACTCCCAGCACCTCAGTGGACACAAGTGGCCACGTCAGGCAGACCCCTACCCCCTCACTCCTTGATGCTGGGAGCTACAGCTCTGAGTGGTTCTCCTTAGCCTGCAGCTTCTGGAGCTTCTGGGATAGAGTATTCCAGAACTGGAGCCTGTGGGCCTTCAGGGCGTGGCCCACCACGGGCTGGATATCCAGCTGCAGGTACTGCTCCTCCTGGTTGAGCACGGGCCAGTGGGGCAGACCCTCACCGTTGGGATTCCTGTAGACATGCCCTCCCAGGAGGGCAGCACCAGGGTCACCCTGAGCCCTGCCAAGCCCAGACCCGGTGGCCCTGACTGGGTCAGATGAGGGAGTGTGGTGGGCTGGGGGGACGAGAAGCGAGATTTGCAGGGAAGGGAAGGCGTCTCGCCAGTGCCAGCTCCACGTGAGGGCAGGGCCACCGGGGCTGTTCCCTCCCTCCCTCTCAGAAGGGCAACAGGCACCACTGCCCACCCTGCAGGTCTCTGGGAGACGCAGTGAGTACCCAGTGCCCACGGGGGCCCTCTCTGTCTCAGGGGGCCCTGGCGCTGGGGAAGGGGCTATGGTGTAATTAAGGACATCAGAACGCCCTTGGGGACCCAGTGGGCCAGGGGAGAGTGGATGGACACGAACCCCCAGGGAGGTTACGCCAAGGGTGTCATCTCACCCATTCCGAGCAAAGTTGGCCCAGTACTTCATCATCTTCCTGCTCAGCTGTTCCTCTTCCTCGGTGACTTGAACTGCAAAGAGGACACGTGTCCAGGTCAAGGCCGACCCCCGCAGCTGCCCATTCACACGCCACCCTCACCGACTCGGGTGTAGCTTGTCCTTGGGCCGCATCTGCCTCCAGGCCTGGTTCTCTGACTCTCCCTCACGGCTCTGGGGAGCTGGGCCGCCCCTTGTGCAAACTCTCTTCTCCCATCCCAGCCTCAAGCTGACTTCACACGGGCCTCGTTCCTGGCCCAGAAGATCTCTTCTTCCTATCGACACTAGGAAGTTCTTGAAGCAACAAATGTGCCTTTGAACCCCCATTACGTGCCCTGCCACCCCACACCCATGCCAGACCATCCTTGGGGTGGGGAGAGGTGGAAGGAGCACAGGATGCAGTCTCACGAGTCCCGGATTCTGGGCCTGCAGGTAGTGCGATGGTTAAGGGCACTGGACTCCCACATGGCCAAGCATGGTTCGAGTCCCAGACCTGGTGGCTTGCTTTCTCATTTTCCCTCTCTCTCCCTCTCTCCCTCTCTGGTTATCTTAAAATAAATAAATAAATAAAGTTAAATAAAAAATAATTCTTAAAAAAAAAAAAAAAAAAAAAACAAAAATCCTGGATTTGAATGCCGGCTCAGCCTTTGGAGCTGTGAGATCCTCTCTTCTCTCTAGGCCTCAGTTTGCTCCTCTGTACAGCGAGGGCAATCACCCCTCAGGGGTCCAACCGGGTCCTATCTCCCCTCCTGGAAAGGAGGAAAACTCACTGTGGTTGTTGCTGAAGAAGAATCCAAAGACAAAGATAATCTCATCACCGTGGTCTGCCTTCACGTGGGGCGGCTTGATGTCCTTGAAGAAGTAGGGCCGATGCTGGAACTCGTAGAAGTAAACAGGGGCACGGGAACCTAGGAAGGAGTGGACAGGCCAGGATGTCGTGGCCCCTTGCCTAGAGCTTTCCTGAATCACGCACTGTGACAAGGTACCTAGGTCAAAGCTGGCTAGAATCTGGGCAGCGGGGAGGGGAGTGCCAGGCTGGAGCTGGGGCAGTGGGAAGGGCCTGGCTTAAAGCATGGCCCTGCACTTCTCGCTGTGTGGTCTTGGGCAAGTCCCTGAAGCTCACTAGCCTCAGTATCCTCATCTATAAACTGGAAGAAATAGCCATCTCTTGGACAAGGCGTGAGGATTTACTAAGATGAAGGGGGTTTTGTTTGTTTCTTTTCTTTTCTTTTTTTTTTTTTTGAGAGGTTTTTGCTGTAGGGTGCGTGCTCTTGCCAGAAAGACAGAGAGAGACAGAGAGACAGAAAGTGAGAAATCACCCCCCAGGGCGGATGGCCATGCCGCAATCCCTTCTCCTCCATTCTCCTTTCAGGATCTTCGGCACGCGTGTACACACCCACCGTGAGTTTAAGCTACTGGGTCCAGGACTCAAAACTGCAGTCGACTACATGGGAGTCCAGCGACATAGCCATTACGCCAACTGCTGGTCCCAAGAGATGAGGGTTATTGAGTGCCTGGCACTCAGAGCCCCTATATAGACATGGGTAGGGACTTGGACACTGACTGGTCTCACTTGGGACCCACAGCTCAGGCTGACCCCTGCCAGTCAGGCCTCGGCTACAGAGGAACTCACGCTGGGAA